GAAGGTGAACCACTTAATCTATATAGCATGTGTGCTTGATCCAAGAAGTATACTTGATCTTGTGTCCGAGATTTTGGCAATGATGTATGGGAATGTGAAGGGAGGATAAATTGTTGACTGCATTAGGTCGGAAGTGCGATAGTTGTTTGAGGTTTACAAAGGGAAGTATAGATCAAAAGCACCCTCCTATGCATTTGAGCCTACCACTGGAGAGAGCACGATTGGTGGTGATAGGATTAAGCAGCTTGAGGAGAGGCTGAGGAAGAGGAAAAGGGAAGCACTGCTGCAGGAAACCAGAGGTAGCTCTGCTGAGCTTGACATCTATTTGAGATGTCAAACTGATGGAATCAATGAGAAGAGTGATGATGCCAAGTTTGACATCTTGAGTTGGTGGTCTCGACACTCTCGAACATATCCGATTATTGCTGAGATGGCCAAGGATATCCTAGATATTTCTAGCTCTTCTGTTGCCTCAGAGGCAACATTCAGCTGTGGCGGTCGGATTCTCAGTCCATCCAGGTCCTCTTTGAGTGATAGCATGTTGGAGGCATTGATTTGTGTTGAGGATTGGATAAAGTATCAAACTTCCGGGGCCGTAGAGAATGATGAGAGGGAAGACGATGAAGAGATTGTGGATTTGGAAAGCTGTAAGTTCTAAAACTCTCTTAATTATAGTTTGTTCAGGTAAACATTTACTATTTCTTTCCACCTAATTCAATATTTGAATATCCCAACACTTTGTTTTTTTCCCTTCTTACTTAGTTAATACCACTTTCCAGTCTAGAATGAAAAGTTTAAGTGATACTGGCAATGTTGCCAATGCAGATGCAAGTCAGAACATTCCAGAGGGGAATGAGCAGGAGGGTGAAGCAGATGTGCTGGAAGAAGAGTATGAGAAAGATGGATATGACGAATTTGGTCATGACCTCTTGCCCCAATTGAAAGAAAAGGGTTATGTAGATGTTGGTTCTTCTTCTGTTGTTGATAAGTGATGATTTTTCGGTGACTTGTTGTTGCTATTTGGATGGGATCTATTGTAATTTGTGACTTTATGAAGTTTATGACTTTATGTTCTAGTATTTGAGACATTAATTTGGTTATTTAAATCTATTTTCTGTGCAAAAGTGATTGAAACTTGACTTTGGGAGTGATTTAGATGTAGAAATGAAGGTTTGAACCTTTAATTTTATGTGATTTTAACGATTTTTTTGTGTAGGGGGCTGTTTCAGTTTGGTTACCAGTTTAAACCGAACCGAATGTATTGCTTCGGTTACCTCGGTTAACCGAACAACTAACTGGTAACTGACCGGTCGGTTGTCGATTGACCGAGGTACTCTGCCGGTCAGTGTTCGGTAGGGGTCGTTGGTTGTCCGGTTAACCAATAATCGACCGTTCGGTTATTGATTATAATCAAACTAACCGAAGCTCCACCCCTAGTTGTGCAGTTGTGCTTGTTGTGGATGCTCTTCGATTTGAGTTCATGGTTATTCTCTTGGGACTTGTGTTTCTTCTCATCGAGGTGGATCTGGTTTCTTTGTGGTTGAGGGCTAAGAGGGGTGAATCTCTTACCTACGGTTGGATCATCCTCATTAAAGAAAAATAAAATAAAAATATGTCCAAACAACTCACTTGATCAATTGAAACAACTAAATTCATCCTTAGGTTAACTGTATACACCCCACAATTAAGTGATACAATATAGGTAGAAACACATGTTCAAATGACTGAGTTTAAAGTCTAAATGCATGAAAACAAGGGTATCATGTCATTTTAGTGGTTTCTATACCTCGGTCGAAGGCTAGAATTAACTCATTAGACAACAACCAAGATTCGAACTAATGGCTCTAAAAGCATATTAAAGCACAAAATTAAAAGTAAGACAAAGTTGCAAACACAAGGATCATGCAACAATGATTTAATCCTATGTCATAAACAAACTCCCAATGGTCTATCTTAGTCAAACAAGTTCAATTGAAAAGAAATGGATATGTGGTTTGGGCATTTTTTGAGCACTTGATGTGTGACATCAAACTACACAAACTCATCAAGATCGAGCCCACCAAGGCTTTCAAACACACATACACATTCATAAGCACACATTCTATGATCATGTTGCACTAATCATGCTATTCCCTAACCCTAAGTGCCTTAGTTGGTAGGCTAGCACACATGCTTAACAATAACATTTTCAATCACTCGTTAAGCAACTAGATAGTCTCCAAATAATCATTTATACTATTCTTGACATAGAAGAGATTCATTCACTAGCTAATACTATAAGGTCTACTTAAAGCAATATCAAACATGCAAGTTTTATTATTGAAAAGGTAAAGATAATGCAAACCGGTTGCTGGGATACCTCCCAACAAGTGCGTCTTTCACATCTTATCACCGAATGCTTATATTTAAGTATTTGATCCAACTTAAGACCTTCTTGAAGTTGAGGTTCTTACTAGTGAGGTAGTGTCTCAAGTCCCGAGTGTTGGATGAGTCAAATGCTGTGAATGACCCATGGACTTGATGAAAATTTAGTCTCCACCCATGAGGCATCTTCTTCTTGCTACCCTTGTTGTCCTCTTTGCCCCATATTAGGTATCACAACCTTGATTGACCACCATTGAATCCACCAAGAGGGATTGATGATGCTGTGGCCTTGGCTTGGTGAAGAGAAATCGCAAAAGGATCATTATCTAAAAGTGCATCAAGGTCGGGTGGAAAGCTTTGGTAGCTCGTGTAACTTGTTGAAGCTTCATCCTTCTAAACCTTGTCCATTGATTGGGCTCCAATTTCATCTTCAACCTCCTTTCCTTCTTTTGAATAATCTTTCCCATGTCGAGTACCAACCTCTTCTCCCTCACGTTATTCTTCCTTCCTCACAACCTCATCATGTTCCCTTCTTTATCCATTAATATTGTTGATCAGGAACAATTTCTTCCAAGCAAGTTTTTCAATACATGGAACGTCAAGTAAAAAATCCCAAGTTACACATGTTTTTTAAAAAAAATTCTCAAAATACACATGTTATGAAAAAAATCCCCAATCTACGCATGTTTGGGCCTTCACCGCGACAGAGCAATGAAAGAAGAGCATTGATTGCATCACCGCATGAGAGGAGGGCAGTGATTGCATCACCGCTGTAGAGGAAGGCGGTGATTGCAAGACCACTGTAAAGGAAGGCGGTGAAAGCCTGATCTGCGTCGAAACTTTAAAGGAACATAACTTTGTTCTCAGTTATCTGATCGTAACGAAATTTTTTTTGATTACGCATATTTTTTCGAGGGATAACCGAGCACAAAGTTACGTTTGTTTAAAGTTTCGACACAGGTCAGGCCTTCACCGCGGCCGTGTAATGCGGTGAAGCATTCACCGCCTTCCTCTACAACGGTTATGCAATAAGTGCCCAATTACCGCCCTCCTCTCAAGCGGTGATTCAATCACCACCCTCCTCTCATGCGGTGATGCAATCACTGCCTTGCTCTGCGGCGGTGAAGGCCCAAACATGCGTAGATTGGGAATTTTTTTCATAACGTGTGTATTTTGAGAATTTTTTTTAAAAACATGTGTAACTTGGGATTTTTTCCGAACGTCAAGGTCCACTTGATTGTCCGCCTTCGAGACTTTTTTCTCTTTTACCACTTTCTCTTTCGCTTCATTGATGATGTCCAAGAGGCGATCTTGATTGAGTCTCGAACAAAGATGTTCTAGTTCTCTTCTCTTCTTTCCAACCTATAAAGCATATTTTATTATTCAACGAGGAATTCTTGAGCAGAAGGGTTGGGATCTCCTGTATAAGAAGGTATCTTTTTGGTCTCCACATCTTTGAGCCACCTTCCCTCTCAATTAATGTCTTTGATACGAAAGCACCCCGAAGGAATGTTGGGTTTGCTTAAATCTATGCACTCCATTTAGATGTTGTAGCACTTGGATGCTAGTTCTTTAACTCCCGACCATGAATCTTTCAAATTCGAGCTCCACGAGGTTTTTTTGGTTCCGAGATTGGAGTTGGGTGAGTTGTTTCAATGCACTCCGCTTTCTTCATACTCTCTTCAAATCGCTCTAGGTCATCTCCAACTCGCTTTTCACCTTAGGTTGTTGAGGTGGTTCTTCAAATGATGGTTTGGAACTTGGCAACCATGGGGTACCATTGATGATCATGGAGTGGTGTTTGTTGAAATCGGGATCCTTGGGCTCCACTCCTCCTTGAAGTCCTGGGGTAACACTTTTCGATGGATGGTTGATACCCACATACTAGTTAACGTAGTTCTTCGACAATGGCTCAAAAAACTTGATGCAGTCGCGCATTGAGTTTTACATATATAAACTCGATCGTCGATAATACTAGTTACCCCAATCCAGAACAAGTGCACCATAGATTGGCGAAGTACAATAGTGGTGACCAATGTTGCATTCTAAAGGTCATAATATCCTAGAGTACTTAGACTCAGTCGTTACCTAGTCAACTCATTACTTAGCAGGTGGAGTCTTTAAAATCAAAATTCACTCAATCCATCCATTACCCACCCTACCAGAGATGCTAACAGTTAGTTAACGGAGGGAAAGGTAGAAAGAAGGAAAGAAAATGAATATAATTTGTGGCACTTATTATTAAAAGTATTATTATTTTTGTATGTAAATCTCACCCGTCATCATTAAAAAAAATTTGAACATAATATCTTTTGGAAAAAGACCGTTCGATTATAATACCGAGAATAAAATGAGAAGGCAGATAAGAGAATCAGAAAAACGAAGTAGTTGGTTCAAAATCCACTTGCACTTCCTCTACCGCACATCTACACATTGCCCATTACATCAAATACACTCTCACTCACATAGATCCTCTTCTGATTTTTAGCATCAAAACCCATCGGAAACAGACAGACAGCCCACCTTCTTCCTTCCCCCATTCCCTAGCTTTTTATGAGCATTATTGCTTGGTTTGTCGGACCCGCCAACCTAAACAAAGAATATGATTTGATTGCATGCATTCTCCACTTGACTCTCGACTGAGTGACTTCAAGGCTAAGCTTTGGATAAATGTCACTTGACCTAACCAGATGATGGTACAGCTCTCTCTCTCTCTCTTCTCTCTCTCTCTCTCTCTCTCTCTCTCTCTCTCTCAAGCCATTATTCTTCTGATCTCCTATTTGGCTGATTTGGGTAATTTTCGTTTCCGAGAATCTCAAACCCAAATGAGAAAGCCTTTGTTCATTGTTGTAATATACTCTCTTACCAAAGCTTCGAACTTGTAGGCATACCTGTCTTCTTGTTTAACCTTGCTATTTGACTTGATTTGTTCTCTTAGTTCATGTAACTAAACTAATGTAATCATTCCATCAATATGTTTTTGATAACTCAAGATGAATCTTGAAACTGCTATGGCTTTTTTATATAGTAGATAATTATGAATGATCTCAAATTCATCAAATCCAGTTATTGGCTTGCACATACATATGGTGTAGTTCGACCTTACGTTGGCGATTCACGATCGTTGGATAAACATAGTGACAATTTACATCCAGCGGTTGCGAATTATGGACCCAATAACAAGAGACACCTATGAGCATGCACAATCTCACATATGACTTGAAAGTGTTTTAGGGTCCCTTTGGATAGGGGTATTTCAAATGTAAGGTATTTGTAATACACGCATTTGAAATGAATGTATTTGAAGTTGATAAGTAATACACTAGACATATATATGAAAATCACCTTATGAGTTTGACACAAATCCAAATACCAAATGTAATTAATATCCAAACAGACGATTTGATATTTGAAAATACAAATCACAAATATCAAATTCAAATCATTCTATCCAAACACATACTTAACAAAATCCAAATTCAACCATGTGGGAATATATTAATTTCAAGCTTTGAAACATATCTGGTAATGTGTTTGGTTTGTTGAAGAGTAGTATAACTTGTTTGTGATACCCTGAAAGATACCCTACACTATTTAATACAACAATAATGCAAAGAGGATGAAGATAAAGGAGGGGTTGAGATGGGTTTTGTCCAATAAAATGGAAAGTGCTTCTCCTCCTATTGTGACTGAAATCTGTACTTAACCAGTGTCTTCGATTGGTATTGTCCTCTTTACAAATTTGTCGAAAATCAGCTTTCTTTCGTCCGAGAAACTAATTACTACTGCTGCATGCCCACTTTCCTATCTCCATCACTTTTATCTTTAGTTCCTCCCCAACTTGGCCTCTTCCTCAAATTTCCACTGAACCTAATTATCCTACCTTTTCCCCATCACCAATGAAAATGGGAACTTCTCCATCACAACAGTACATAATATGGGATTCATGAATCATGACAACACTCATTCCAAAAAGAAGAAAAAAAAGTTAGTGGTCCATAATATGCACGACCCCTTTGCATGGAATTGGAATGGAAGCACCAGAGGCTGTTGTAATAAGCCATTCGATTTGACTGCAATGGGGTTGGTGCTTACACTACACCGACTTGTTCGTTGGTTGAGTAATTGTAATGCAACTGGAATGCACAATATTGTTAATAAATAGTCTATATGATCAGTGGCATAACCAAACTTTGAGTTTATTGGAGTTCTTAAAAAATTACTAATATTAAAACCTGTGTATCTAATGAACTTTGAATTGATTGTGGTCCTAATCTGAGCTAACATCGACGAGAGTAGGGCTGTCTATTTGGTCCGGGCTTTCTGGTTTTACCCGAAATCGGACTGAGACCTGACCGGTACCGGATAGCAAACAATCCAATCCAATCTTCGGGCCTAGATTTGAGTTAAAAAAACCATTTGGGAGCGGACCGAAAACAAGATAAAGACCGGATAAGAGAGCCTAACACCCAAAATTTAACCTCCTCAACCTTTTAGCCTCATACCACTCAAATCCCCATAAGCTCAATAGAAAATCAAGATCGAATTGGGACCGGACTGGTTCAAGACCGGACTGTATTCAATCCAATCTTTGGTCCTTATATTCTCGAAAAGACCGGACTGGAACCAGATCAATTCGGGTCAATTTAACAGGACCGGACCGTATAGCCACCCCTAGACAAGAGTATGAGATACTAAACTTGAAGTATCGTACTAAATCCTATGTATCTAAAGGGTTTTGTGCCCTAATTTTTTGCCAAGTGGAGTCCCAGGGCCCCTCTCCTCAACACCTCCCTCCACCACTATATATGATACATAATTGAATGTCTACCAACAACGTGAGTTATTGAGATCAATTAGTTCTTGACATGGTATCCAAACTTTGTGCGATCGAGAGATCTTCTTTTTGAATCATGGCTACCTCATTTGTTAGGTAAATGGTATTCGGAATTGTGTAAACTTCAAGTCCATAAAGAGTAGCTTTCACTTGAGTGAATGTGCTAATAAATAGTATATGATTTATTATTGAATATCTCCCAACTATTCGAGCTATTAAATCAATTGGTTATTTCAAACATATGTCTAGAAATGCATGGGAGAAGGGAGCTGATGATCTGGTGTTTATCAATCCAAGAGAAATGGTAGGAGGGACCATATTAAGTTCCAAGTCCTCACAATCAATGCAGTCAAAAGCGCGATTCTACCTAGAAGCGGAAAATGGGTAAAATCGTAAGCGTAGAATCAAAGCGTAAAAGCGTAAGTTTTTGAAGCATACTGAAAAATAACTAAGGGGTCGTTTGGAGAATATGAGTTTAAATCTACAGATTGTCAACAATCTAAAGATTCTAACTCTTTGGATTGTTGAAAACATATTTTAAAATGTTTATTGTTTGGTAACTGTGATTGTTAACATTCAATTAAAATAAAAAAAATTTATTTTATATTAAATAACATGTTTATCCTTAATAAAAAAATTAGAGTGGTTTAAGAAATATTAAAAACTTTGTTGATAAATATATTTCATGTGATAAATAAATAAAAGTAAGAGAAAAACTAGGAGAAAAAAAATCTTACGAATCAAGATTTAGAATCTCTCTGATTATGAGAGATTTGATATCCACAGATTTTAGAGATTTCAAATCTCTAAAGTTAGAATCCACAATATAAAAAGCAACAAAAAAACATAACTTGCTACAAAATCTGTAGATTCAGTGAATCCATGTCCTGAATCATGTTCTCCAAACGACCCCTAAAAAGCTAGGACATATACTATGTAAAATATGAATGCACGGAATTTAGATAAGTTAATAAATACATATAATTCATGCCTCAGGTAGAGCAACTTGTAGCATCTTAATAATAAGTTCGTAAACATTAATTTTAACAATAAGCCACTTTTTCCTCTATGCTAATGAATTCGGGAAGAGCCTAGCTGGTGAATTAGATTACTCTATTGAAGTTGAGAATGCATTCAAGTACATGGTATGTATCTTTTAATCTCAAATGTATCATATTCTTGGTGATTTGCTTTTAAAATATACTTTTTATAATTAATTTCATGAAAAGAATACTCATTTAGTGAACTAAAAGCGTAAAAACGTAAAGCGTTTTGGTGAACTAGAAGCGTAAAAGCGTAAGCTTTTAAGCTTTAAAGCGCAATTTAGTCCGATTTTATACACTCAAGTTTTTATATGGAAACGAAAGCGTTTTGGTGACCTAAAAGCGTAAAATCGTAAGTTTTTAAGTTTTAAAACGCGATCGGTCAAAATTTGTGTCAATTACTAGGGTTTTCTTTATTTATCATCACCCATTGGAAGTATAATTTGGAAAATAAAACTAAAACACAAAAGGATGGTGGGAGGAGACAGGAATCTGAGAAGTGGGCCTTGATTTGGACTTGTGATGGGCATTACCGACGATTAAGCTTCTGTTCCAGAATCAATCTGATGAAAGCAGAATACCATTATTTATGAGTTTTTTTCTTTCAACTTTAAAACAAATGGCGAAAAACTATTCACGTCCACAGTAATAATTTGTCAATATATCAACAAATATTATATAAAAATGCATTCTTTTTGGGGAGGAATTATGATTGTTTGAAAAATCACTTTCAACATCTCGAGAGGGAAATTATCATATCCCAAGACAATCTAACTAATTGAATATTTTATCTCCTCAATTATATTGCTTTGTGCCTAATCCAGATTTCCAAGCGGGCACAATCGAGTATTACTTATGTTGAAAGGATATATAGTTTCTTTAATGGTAAAAGTTGACTTGCGTAATATCCACCTGATCATAAAAGTCTTGTGGATAATTTTCATGCTGATATGGACCAACTTTTGTAGTAATCGCTTCACTAACTTGAGCAATGACCATCCTCATGCTTCTTCCTTCTACAATATTTATAAAATTTGAAAATATTAAATTAGGATATAATTTAGAAATATATAAAGATAATTTTTTATGAATAATGTATCAACATATTGCTTTGCAATCATGGTATAGAAATATAAGGGTTTCCTGGTTCAAGTTAGTATGGATGCCTTATTGCATTCTCAATATTTTTTTCTTCTTTTTCTTGACTAGTTCAGTTGGATCGAGAGCATAAATTTGCAAAATGGAAGATATAAATCCCTAATAACATGTTCACTGTGTCAGTTACTACCTGAAATTAGAGATCATCTATATTTTCGTTGTGTTTATGTACAGCAATTAATTACATATTTTTTCCCTGCTAAACATATGAGTCTAATTATAAAATTGGTTTTATCCTACAAAGAAATTGACTTCGAAACCTAAAACATGATAAATATTGGTATAGTGATATCCACATACTGCAAAGTGAAAACCCTCCCAAGTTGCCATCCCATTATTAATTCAGAAGAAGAAGAAACAAAAAAAAGAAAACAAAAGACAACCAAAACAAATGGATGTTGAAAAAAATTAACGATGGGATGTTTGAATCCTTAGCTAGTCGAACAGGGGAACAGAACAAACACTCAAATCTCAAAATTTTAAGTGGGTGTTACAGTGGAGAGTAATAATGACTAACACCAATGTGGCATCTTTGGGGGAAAAAAATGGAAGCCCCTTCCATACCAGTAAAGGGCAATAAGAAGGGAGCATAAAACCCAAATAATTCCACCCAACTCCTCTCTCATTTCCCACTGGAACTTCTCTTTCTCCCCTCTCAAAACACTTCCCGTGTCATCAATTCCTCTGTAATCAGCATCATCAAAACCATGGTTTCCCAGGGCGATGAAGGAGATCGCCAGGAGCATGGAGCAGCAGCAGCAGCAGCTGACGAGATCTCAATCGAAGAACAAGAATGGTTGAGCCTGGGCATGAAAAACAGAGCATCTGGTGGAGGCAGGGGACATGAGAACGACGACGACGACAACAACGATTCCGATCACACAACTCCTCCTTCTTCCTCGGCGACCCACCACAAGGTTTTCTCCTGCAACTTCTGCATGAGGAAATTCTACAGCTCCCAGGCCCTCGGCGGCCACCAGAACGCCCACAAGCGAGAGAGGGGCGCCGCCAAGAGGTTCTTCCACTCCCAGCGGATGATGATGGCGGCCGCCGCCGCCTCCATCGGCTACCCTTTCGCTCAAAATTGCGGTGGCTTTTCGTCTTTCACTCCCTCGTTAGCAGCGGCTCGGTCGCTCGGCGTCCAGCCGCATTCTCTGGTTCACAAGCCTGCCGGGGCGGCGGCGGCAGGGGCGGCGGTGGCGAGATTCGGAGGGAGGGAAAGGGAATCTCTAATTCTGTTCAGGAGAAACGAGATTCAAAGGGAAGGGGACACCACGACTGACCTGACTCTTGAAGGTACCGGAAGACGAGGTAGTTCAATTCGACGGAAGTGATTGACGTCATGGTTTGGTAGTCGCCGGAATCAAACAGCTCCCCTGCTTCCGATTTACGGAGCGCGGCCAAACTGCTGCGAGGAGGAATTACAAACTAGGCGAAGGTGCAATGACGCCGAAGAGCTGCCGCCCGCTGAGACGGAGTCACCCCCACACCGTAGACCGTAGGGAGTCGTTTTCTCTGCTTCCTCTCTTTTCTGTATGGTGAAGGGTAATAAATTATGTGCACTGTTGAGCTTAGCCACAGCCATGGAGATTTCGACCTGGACGGTGACAAGTAAAGTCTGATTTCTCTTAACGGATTTCTTTTGGCCCAGGTTGCCTTCATTCGGGCCACCGACCCGAAGCAACCACGACTTGATTAAAATCAAGTTCGGCCCACCAAAAACTCCGTATGGAAAGAGGAAACTATTTTAAGGTACACTTTCATTGATACGATATAATAGTCAAATTTTTTATCTTTTAACAAAATAATAGTCAAACCTTTTTGAAATAATTTAATAGTCAAATCGTTAACTTTTTGTTCGGTTAACGGTTAGCTGACTCTAACGTGAAAGATGAATAGCTGAGTCAAAATATTTTTGTCGATGTATAAAAAAAATTAATTATTTGAATGTGCCACATCCACCTATTATTTTGACAAAATTATATAATATTGTTTATTAAATTACAAAAACAAATTATTCCTCATCCCTACCCCCTTCCTCCATAATACGTTAGGGTGAATACTAGTTTTTTAGTAACCATCGTGGCAACCTACATCTAAATCGTTCATTAGCTCTATTTTTTCTCTTTTTTTAAATAATGATCAAGATTAGATTAAGGTTAGTTTGAGAATCAAAATATTATCACACGAGATTATTACCTACATTTATAACTTACCTCCCCAAACCCTATGCCCACCCTTTCCCTGATTGAGAAATCACCCAGCCCTCCTCCTGCAAATCTTTTGGTCGCTTGCCTGCGCTGGCCACCCCTCTGAGTTACCTCTCTCTCTGACCCTCCCGATCCTTCTTATCTCTCTCTCTCTTCCCTTTCGTTCTTCTTCCACAGGGGACTCTTCCGCAACTCATGTAAAAACTTGACCCCCTCCCTTCCTCCCTCTCCCCCCCCCCCCCCCCCACCCTCTTCTCTTCCGTTCTTCTACATCTCCTCAGGGCCAAAACAACGAATGGGAAAAGAGGTAGTTTTTGTTTGTATTGGTATGTATTTTGTTTATACTGGAAGTGATTTTTCGCATTGGTATTGTTTTTTTCGCAATGGTATTGTTGTTTTGGTAGCGATGTTATTGTATTGGTATTGATTTGCATGTATTGATATTGGTTAAATCTGCAATAGTATTGGTTAATAAGTAGCAGTGTTTTATGGATTGATATTGGTGTTTTTTTGAAACAGTAGTGTTATTCCAATGGATTGGTATTGGTGTTTTTTTTGAAATGGTAGTGTTATTTTAATGGATTGGTATTGATTTCTTATTTTATTGTTACAGCGGTCGACTGAACAAAAACAAAGATTAGTTTGAGAAAAGGAAGGAATGAAGTTATGACTCAATATTGCGGAAGTGAGAGAAGAGAAAATTGTTATTAATATGTTTTGTAACGTCCTAAAATATAATTTATTAAAAAATTAATAAATATTTTTTCTATACCCAATTTGCGCTTAGTACTAGCAATCACCATAATCGTTCCCTTCCTTCCTCCCTCACCTCCTCGACCAAACCCAAGTCCCCTCCCCTCCGGCGGATCTCGTCACCATCGCTCACATTCCCTAATCGATCATAAATCCCCAAATTGGACAGCAAAACCAACCAATTCAAAACCTTCCCTACTCACCTTCTTGCCACCACCACCGCCAGCCCAAAGGTCGCCGCCCCTTGTCGCCAGACGACTGCGCCTCCTCTCCTGCGAGCGGCGTCTCTTCCGCGCCCCGGCGTTCCGCCGCTGCTCGTCTTCGCCTCCTCTCAACTCCGACCAGCACCTCTACTTCTTCTTCGCCTTCGGATTTCTTTGGTTTTGGGTGAGTTTTTCGGTGATTTGAAGTGGAAGAAATAGGGGTCATCTCTTAGTTTCGCATGCCCCAAACTGACAATCGCCGAATCTCTTGTTGGCAATCACCGAATCTCGTTCTCGATCGATTCAATCTCCAGATCTATTTTCTTTTCATCCCGATGACGAGGAGTAAACGACTACAGTGAGACTGGGTTTCCATTTTTTTCCTCGACGATTTTTTCGGTGGGAAGTTAGTTAACTCACCGCCACAAAGCCCTGCCGCCGTTCCTAATTGGCGAAGAAGAGGTTAAGGTACTCTTTGAATTTTTAATAATCTTTTACCCCAAAATAATCAATGGTTATGTAAATTTATTTAATATCCACTTGGCATGTTAATAGTTTAACGTTCTTGCCATGTAATTAATACATTTTGCCACGTCAGAGTCAAATAACGGCTGACCGGATGAAAAGTTAACAGTTTGGCTATTAAATTGTTTTCATAAAGGTTTGACTATTATTTTGTTTAAAATGAAAGGTTTGGTTATTATATTGTATTTACTTAAATATGACAGGATATATAGCAGCAAATATAAGCATGTCATGTCCTCTATCTAAATTCACAAGTTGTATGATCAGAATTTAAGGAGAAGATCAAAAGCATTCTCCCAAACGACATTAACGATCAAATTTTGTCATTGCATCAGCAATCGCGTTAGCATCCTATAATGTCTGTGAGAGTCCTCCAGAATTTTATAGGCGAGAATTTGCAATTATGATTCCAATTAGGTTGGAAAAGCTCTACTTGTGGAAGGATAAGGTGGAAACAATTTGGTACCACTACTTCTATCATTACGCAAAATAGTTAGAATATGTTCACAATCCTTAGTAACACATCATCCACTTCTGCTACCAAATATTAAGAATATGAATTCCACCATCCAATTCTCCTTCCTCTTCTTGGCTCCACGACCAGATCTAAATTCTAATTAGTCATACTCATATCCTCCTAACACTATGGCCTATGCTAATGAGTCCTAGCACATAAATAAATAAATAAATAACCAACAAATGTACAGTATAGTGTACAAGTATAACCCCTCCCGATAAACATAAGACGTCCCACTTGGGAAATGGAAACTCATCAGTGTCCTTCACCTTTCCTGCTCGGCCCAGATGCCAAGTTACTATTCACAACCGTCGTCGCCGGACCTTGATCGCCCCCTCCTCTGCCGCCAGGATCCTTCACCGTCTCCGATGCTCTGGCGACAGAGTTAGTGGCAGTAGCAGTGGTGGTGGTGGCAGAGGCAGAGTAACCAGCTGCAGCAGGAACTTCACTATTTGCATGGTCGTGAAATAATAGTAGAGCTCGAGAACGGGCAAAGCGAGGATGGGAGACTAAAATGAAGAAGATTAAGAGGGCAAGAATTGACGCGAAGGAGGGTCTCATTGATCACTTGCTCTGTTTTCCTCTGTTTTTTTTGGGTGGGTGGAAGCCAAGGTTTAAAGTTCTGTTGGTGGGAACTAGTGATCAATATTTATACTTAGTTTGGACGATCAAAATTGAGAACTTTTGGGGGAAAGAAAGATTCTTTGGACCAAAGAACAAAAAGAATGGAGAGTCCTTGTAGTCCCCTGAAAGAATGGAGCAGGGGAAAAAGGGCTAAGTTATTATAATTGAGAAAGAAGCTACCTCCAGAACTCTGTTTTATAACTCCAAATTGGGAAATGGAATCTTTCAAAGAGAAACAAATACCATTTTTTCCCTGTAAAGACGACGGAACAGGCTGTGGGAAGGAATAGAAGAGTGGCGTTCAAGGAAGTTAGCGTGATTGAGCAGGTGGCGGGAGAGTGTGTGGAGTCGAGGTCGTGGGACAACAAAGGAACGGACGGAGAAGGGCTTTTAGGAATTTTGGTTTTTATTCTTCTTGGTAGAGGGAAAGAACATTTTACCATGAATGGAACAAATGTGATGCAGTTTTGATTGATGGGGGAAAGGAATGCTTTATTGCTTTTGTTCTTTCTGGGGTGGTTTCCAATTTCCATACTGATAAAACCCAGCTTTCTTTTTCGAGATATCATTATCAGCCACGCCTTACCTGGAAAGTTGGCGGGGGCTCTTGCAGATTCCGTACCGGTGAAAGTTGCGGACAGTATGTTTAACTTATGTGCGACGCAGGGGAGAGATACTTTCGAGATATATTATTATTACTATTTTGTTGTAGTTTGGCGTTACATTTGCACCGATGCTATTAAAAAAAATGCAAAATACACTTTCATAATCATAATTATTCGCGTTGTGACAAATATAGTCAAAATTTGAAAAATACACTCGTATAACCATTCCGTCCAAAACTTTAACGGGAATGTTACGACTGCTGACTAGACTAATGAATGTTTGTAACGTGGCCGCGGTTCATCTACGTGGCAGGCCAGGTGGAAATTGTATCTTATTTCATTACTTACAAAAAAAAGTTAAAACCCTAAAACTAACTTTACCAATTAATCGACCATGTTTACCATTTCGAACGCACTTTCCCCTTTCTCTTCACTCCTTCTTCTCTCGTGAAACAGCTCCCCCATCACTCCAGATCGACGAAGTCAGTCGATCGAAGACTACACCCCGACGGCTCGACCCACCTCTCCGTCGCTCCAGTGAACGACGTCTCCCCGTATCGCTCCTCTATCTCCGGTGAAGACAGAGGAAACCATGCATCATCCGGCTGGTGAATAGACGATGGCGGCAGCGGGTGGAGTCTTGTGAATGGAGGATGGAAGAATGATCAAAGCCTTTGCCATGAATTTGGGAGAAACATCCATCACTAGAGTGGAGCTGGAGGGCAATGTTCATGGGATGCATTT